ATTCGATGTAGGCCAGGCTTCACTTTAGAAACAGTATCTATCAGGCTGGTAAGGAAGTCAACAGGCTAGAAGGCTGCTCAACGTCAATGCTGGTAACTGCGGTTAGGGCCTGGAATAAAGCACCGTCGCAAGAGACAACCGTAGATCGCATCAAAAGATTGATCACTACGCATCCAGTACTTCTATTCATGAAAGGTGATAAGCATGAGCCATTCTGTCGCTTCAGTCGAGCGGTAGTACAGATGCTAAACGAGTCGGGGGTGATTTTCGAAGGGTACAACATCTTCGAAGACCCAGAACTACGCGAAGAACTCAAAATATACTCAAATTGGCCTACTTATCCACAACTATACGTAAAGGTAGGCATTAAATGTTTTAATGAATGATACTACGAAGGGATCACTGATTGGAGGTCATGATATTATTAAAGAACTATTTGAAAATAACGCACTCAGGGATGAAATCCCTAAAGAATGCTTGCGTTAAGCTTGAGATGAGGCGGCGCCTGCGGCTGCCGTTTGAGCAGCGTGCTGCGCCCTGACATATTACTCCACAATCTGCCGAACACGATCTTGCACGGTTTGATTGAGAATGAACGCAAATATAATACCGCATGCTAGTGATAGTGCCGCTGAAGTTGCAATTACAATAAGAGCAGCACCAAAGAATATCTTCTTAAATGTATATGTGTGGAGGCTGTGGAATTTGGTACTCTGCTCGTATTCCGGTGGCAGAGCTAGCAGCTGTGGCACAGTGTAAGTGCATGGGCAGCCATCCATGACAAAGGCGAACTTGGCATCACTGATGTATTGTTTGCCTCCGTCCAAGTTGTGGACTTCAGATATGAAGTCTTCGCGCAAGTTTCGAGCTCTAGATTTACGCCACAACTCAGCAACGTCAACGAACAATCGCCAACCCATGTATACCATGGTAGTATGCGCCATGCCATTCACGTAGTGACCCCCCCTGACGTGGTACGCACTTTTCAGGAAGTTGCCGTCAGTGTACATAAACATGTCAACGAGGTTGAAGATATGGAAAGACAATAATATCAAACTCGCCCCAATCCATCGTAGTGGAATGATCACATGAGCAATAAACTCCAAAAACGTGGCACGTCTAATCCATTGCCAACTAGTCAGACGGGGGAACTCGCCATCGACCATAACGTTGTTCGTGCGAAACTTGAACAAGCTACGAAGCAAAGCGCCGCGGAATCTAGTGGATGGGGATTTAGGTTCCCGAGAAGCCTGAGACTTCGAGACATCACCGGAGGACTCTTCGCTCGGCAGCTCGCTGTCTGTCGCAGCATCCTGCGAGGCGCGTGCAGATTCTTCCTCACGCTTCTCTACCCTCTTATAGTATATACGCCACAGCGTTGCGTCACCCAACATGACGATGCGCATTGCTTCACCGAAGATCATAAAACCAGCTGTCATGCATCCCAGCGAATAGTACAGCATCCACATTGCAGGATTGTTTGCGGTGTGCGTAGGGTTTTCTGGCACGTATTCATGGACAATTGTGCTGAGCAATGCTGCACCTAAGGGACCGCACATCATTAGGATTATTGCAACAGAGGCCTGAAGACCGCTAAAGTTGTTTATGAAGTATCTCATAGGAGTTGTACAAAGGTCACATTTCCTCACCAACGTCGTCTTAGGTCCTTCGTAATGCGCCTCGTACAAGGCAGAGAGTTTAACCCCTCCTCGAGGCAACGGACTCCCAGGATCCTCGACGTCCGTAGGCATGGTGGAAATGGTGACGCTAAGACATCAGCAAAACTCAAATTAATGGTCTTTAAATATTAAATTGGACAAGTTAACTATATGTGGGGTGATAGTGCTTACATATTCGATTTACAGGCAGCAGCATCACGTAACCTATTGCCACGGTACCTTCTTTTGCGTACAGAGTCTCGTGGCAGGCGAAGCTCCACCACGGGATGAAGTACATCACCTGAAACAACAAGAAAAAATTCTAACATTATTGAACGGAGTTGATGCGTGCATTTGAGCCCCTAAAATCATATATTACATAGTTGTGAAAAGGTAGCCCGATGTGTCGAACGATGTATGCGCAACGTCTTGATGTTCGTACTCCATCTCCAATGGCTCAAAGGATAGGCGCAATAAACGGAGTTTAAAACGAGAACGCGCAATTAACAACAATTTTTAAAGAAACCCATGCAAAGTAATCTAGACAGATGAGAGCGTCTACACACTGCTAAGATATCACCAGGGTATTGTATATGTCGAAGCTCATGGTACTTATCAAGAGCCCATGATAACAATATTTTTGTGACGTTATCGCATAGCACATAAGACGCAACGGCGTAAGGAAGTCTAACATTCTCTGATAAGATATCTTTAAGCCGTTTCAAAAATGAGACTTGCACGAAAATCCACCATTCGTATATTTTGAACAATCATAGCTATACTCATGATTGCCAATGTGCAGGGTGAAACTATGCAGACACCAGAGTCTACAGCTCAAGCTGTCTCCAAGGGAGAGGCCATCGCACTGGAATACATACCAGGAAGTGGTTACTCCTTCCCGGTAGTGGTAGGAAACCAAACTATCACACTCAAAGTTGTATCCGGGGTAGAAGGGATAGTATTGTTTGATGATGGATCTTCCGCATGCCAGAAGGCAACAACAAATGCGCTCTGCTACGACCCAAGGCTCTCGTCAACAGCCATCTGGTGTGACAACACGGAGGTATGCATACCTGGTAAGGACGATTTCGAATGTAATGAAGTAAAATCCTCCGAATCTATCAATGCCGCCACAACAACAGATTTTCGTAGCGAAGGGGTGGCACACCATATGGAAACCGTTGAGGGATACGAAAACATCTCCATACGCAATGCGTCACTCTTTCTACCCGTCACATTCGAACGTATGCCGGTGAAACTGGCTAAAAATGTAACGGTAGGAGCCAACCTGCCGGTCACAAAAGGAGCTGGCGGGTTCTTTGGTTTATATGGACATTCAGTCAGTTGTAGAGAGCGTTCCCTGTGGGCAGAGATGTTAGCAAAGTACCAAGGTTTCTACACCATAGATATATACGGAGATGCCGTTACGGATACTGTAGATCCCTCTGAGCAGGTTAATTCCATAAGGCTGGGCCTTGACTTCGTCCAAAAACAGGATGTAATGTGGGCAGAAAAACGCCAAGTCGGTGGCATCTTTACAGACGCCTCAATTGAGTTCTCCGCATATGAAATGTCCATGTGTGGAGTCAACCTATTTGGGAAAACATCAAGCTACTGGCAAGTTGCCATAGACCTTACATCACAGTGTTTGGTACTCCCCAAGAATTTCTGGTTCACACTCATGGCACAACTGCCAGTCGTAGAAGGGTGTTATCTCAAAGAGTCGCCAAAAATGTGCGCAATAAGACTCGATGGTGCTAAAAAACTTCCAATGCTCACTTTTAAACTAAGACAAATGACTGATGACCTGATCTTAAGCATACCGCTGCAAAATCTGCTACTAGACAACACCGACAATCCAACGCTGTGCATAGTGCCCGACGAAGATACACCCGTTCCACCGGTGTTTACAGACCGTCCTAGCATCAAGTTTGGTTACAAGGTCCTGGAGGCTCTGCAAGTAGTAGTGGACACTAACGGCTACCGGGTAGGGTTCGTGCACAAGCAATCTGCGGACACAGCCAACGACATTTGTGTAAAACCTGTCCAGTGCGTGTGAGTGATACATTATGCCTCAATCATTCAATATGCAGCGGCGATCAACACTACGTGCCAGAACTCAACCATTGCCTTCAACCATCATGCAACATTTGGGCATTCAAGCGGCTGGACCCCTCCACAGGGTAATTTCTATTTTATTTGACAAATATCATGGTTCAGACGATGTGTCACATCTATCAATGCAATAATAGCGCTATACATCATCGTAGGCGTACTGTTGATCGCAGAACTTCGCCGATACTTTGCTCGGCGTAGGGTCCTGAGAATGGCACAGCGGCTATGCTAGCAGGCTTCGCATCTCGCGACGCTCCTCGATCTGTACGTATCGTCTCTGAAACGTAACAACATACCGCCCGTTGGTGTTGAGCCTTCTTCTGAGGTTTACGGTAGTCGCGAACAACCGTCAACTCCGTGTAGTCCAGTTTGGGAATGGCGTAGTTTTCGTCAAAGAAGATGGCACTGGCAAAATGTGCGTTCTTCGCACCGCAAATCTCCATCCATCGCTTCATATAGCTGGTGGCAATCACATTTCCCTGCAGCTGCGGACATATTTCACGCAATGACGCTGAACATACGTGACCGATGGCAAAGGAACGTCGGCACTTAATCCAGCCCACTAGGAACAACTGGTTGCAGTGAGACTCAAGCTCGCTCTCAAAACTCTTAGCTGCGGCACAATGACTGTAAAATATTTGTAACATACCGTTAAATGTACCGGACAGCTTAAACCTAAAGCGGTGGTTCATTTCATGCATATTGCTAGCATCATAGTCCGTACGCACGGTGGCACGCTCCTCCCGTCGTTTATATTTACGTAAACCGCTCGCTTTGTCGTTCAACGTATCGAATATTGTGTCGAATACGGGATACCCCCGATGGAGTACCGGGTGAACGTTAGCGGTATCATAGAGCGATTTTTGCGGTCGCAATAACGGCTGGAGCAGATTCTGCCTAACTAATGGCAGTGTACTTTTTGCCTTATTTTTAAGGCTCTTAGGAAAGTAAGTTGACATGGCCGCGTTTATTCGCGGGAGGTAAAGCGTCTAAGTCATATTCATATAATACGCGAACAGCTAAGGTGTTAAGTGTACAACTATAAATTTATATAAGCAAACGAACAACCAGGACTGTATTTTAGGGGGATAGAGTGCCAAAGAACGTACACACTAAAAGCCGGTACACCACGCAGTCTGTTAGCTCGCCCATATACTTGGCGCTGGCACAGACAATGTGTGGGAATAACATAAACTTGAATACTGTTTGAGGCAAGACACAGAAAATATGCCGCAGGAGCGCCAGCCTCAGGATACCTGTGCCGGAGTCCGCCTGGAGGCACACAGCAACCAACGCTGTGACTATGGGCCGCGTAGAGCCCTGCAGGCAGACATTGCGGGTCGCAGCTCTCTACACGCACTGTGGTATACCATCGATGATTTCGATATCGGAGGATTAGTGGTACGTCTACAATGTAAATCTATTGATACGACGCGTATACTTTGGTTTCATCGGTAATAGCTCCTCAGGGTGATGGCGCACACGGGCAGGTTTTTCTGGCACGAGAGAGGCGTACGGGATTCATATGTGTAATCAAGTGTATTTCCAAGGCACTACTCATCGGGTGAGATAAACGATATGCGATATCTAATGCCTCCTCAGCAGCAAACAGGAAGAGATTTTCAGACGAGAGATTGAGGTTCATGGACACCTGCGTCACCCAAATATCGTAAGGTAGGAAGTGGATAAAGTTACAACACAGAGCTACAGCATATTCACGTGGTTTGCGTCGGAATCAATGGTCTATATAGTGCTAGAATATTGTATTAATGGAGATCTTTATAGTCACTTGAATGCACGTGGAAGGCTACCGGAACAGCGAGTTGCGGAGATTTGCTTTGAAGTCACATGGGCTATACGTACGTGCCACGACAAACATATTGCACATCTGGACCTTAAACCGGAAAATATTCTACTAGACCACAACTTTCATTGCAAATTGGCAGACTTCGGGCTATCTGCACATGTAGGTGCAAAAGGTGATAAAGTCAGCCATATGAGAGGAACATACGATTACTGGTCACCGGAACAGTGTGCATGTAAATACAATAAAGAAGGGATGTTCGGCGAATTCAACCATAAAAGTGATATATGGGCAATCGGTGTCCTAGTGTTCGAACTATTTTTTGGTAAACCTCCTTTTGGCTCCACCACATCCGAGGACATCGACGTAGTCCTCGAACGAATACAAACCTACACGTGGCATCGTCATTGGGTGGCAAAACATGGCCGATCAAGACTTGACGAAGCTAGCGAAGAGTTTCGCTTATTCTGTGATATCTGCTTCGAAAAAGATGCACAAAAACGGGCAGACGCTGAGACTCTACTGCGACATCCATGGCTGTGCCAGAGAAACGCAGAAAGGTACAAATCGCACGTATTTCTCAACCAAATAAGGAACCAAGAGATTGGGGTGTGCTCAGATATACAGTAAACAAAAACAACTTAATAGTCATGTTCTTTGTGTGGGAGTATCCAGCTGCAAGTATGTTGACTCAGCTGTCTCGTAAAGGTCCATAAAAGTTATATGGTTAAAGTCGAGGTAGTCCTGCACATGACCTCGCATTCCGCTGTAGCTCTGTTTCAAGGAAAACTCGAGCTGTCTGAAAACACGCATTTCTACAGCAAAAATAGCCCGGGGAGTTATAGTGCGATCACGGCATAGATACCCCAAAATATCGTTCACCACCACGTGCTCACCATCCTGATTGAACTTGTAAGCAAGTATAAGACACGTTGCAGCATATAGCTTTCGGTTCTGTTTAGTAACCACGCCCTTTATTACCAACCTGAACATACATGTGTTATAAGGTGTGGGACATACCGTTCAAAGAGAATCCATGCAGAAAACACAGTAGATGGGTCCAGGTGAGGTACACTGCGAGGGGCCATGAACAACGTGAGCTTGATACGGCTCAACTTGGTAAGCGATAGTGACGGGTGCAACCACTCGTTAGCCGCTCGGAAACGAGCATTGAGTTCTGTGAAATTCGCCGGGTCCGCACCCAAAGTTGCGTAACTATCTAAATGATCTGTAGTACTCAGGGTCATAGAGCCACCTGATTTAGATTTCATGAGGCCGTAAAGCATAGGTATCTTCATGAAGTTGGGGTCATATGTGTCCTGACTTGGAATGATAAGCTCAGCATAGCTGATATAAAATTTCCTACGCTGTTGAGTTTCACGCTCCTCCATACCAATTGTGTGGTTGGAGGAACTTTTCAGCATATCTGAACGCCGGTCACAATACCTCCGTATGCAGCGCGAAACCCGTGAAAACCAAGTAGACATTCGCGCACGGAGGGACAAAGCTTCAGATTCCAGCGCTTGATTACGAGCTTCACGCAAACAATGCGCCTGTCGCGTGGCCTCACCTTCATCTGCAGCCAACTGAAGATCGAGGCGTTCCTCCTCGAGTTCGATAATGTGATCCTGATCGAGTGGATAACTTTCGTTTGGAGTTCTGTATGGATAAGTTTCCGAATCGTTCGGCGACTGTTGTTCATCCAGTGTGACCTCCTTCGGCTTCACTTGTGGGATACCAGTTAGGAAAGCAACAGCAACATTGGTAGAGAGATTGGCAGATTTCAACGACGTGAAACGTAAGTCGGTTAGTAACTCCTGGAATTCAGACAGTGTGTAATCGTCTACTTGGCTAGTATTGCGACGCATGATTCCCAACTTGGATTGCAGATTCCTTGCCTCTAGAGTTTACGTCTCGGGATTTGTCTATATGCCGAAACTTAAAAATAGGCAATGCTGCCTAATTCCAACGAAATAAACTATTTATACATTGAATTCGTGGGTTTAACCCATATATTATACTACTAGTAATACACAGCAGACATAACTTAGCTTCAAGCGTACATAAATAACCTCGGAATGTGTAATGATGTGCGAGGACATATAAAGGTAACAGAGACAAAAGATTACTGAGCAGTTCAGTCATCAAATATTGATTGAGATGTTATTGTACGTCTTCGAAGATGGTAGGTGAACATAGATGGTGTGGTTCGATCTTCAACGCGTCGCGGGGTGGGTGGAGCACGAAGCCCCCCTAATGTAAGCCTTGTAGGTTAGTAAACATTAACATATATGATTCCAAAATATATATAGGTGATTTACTTCAGTTTTGTCTTCTTAGACGACGCATGTAAAACGTAGTGGCGTCCGCTAGCAATCAAGTACGCGCGGAGCACAAAGCCGGCCGCTTAGCGTATGTCAACGAAATTATGTTGACATAAAGTAGTACCAAATGTTGTACTTAATTAATGTTTATTATCTGCCATCATGACGGACTCTGCCGAACGTCACGAGGAGCATGGCTCAGCAAAAGATGACATCCGCAGACACTATTCGGCCGTTTTCACTAAAAAAAGTGAAGGGCTGTGGATGACAAGCAAACAACAACTTGATGGTGGCAACAGAGTGGAAAGTGTATCGATACCAGCCGTTCCAGTAAGGAAGGCTAATATGGCACCAAGGCGACCGTTTATAGATTACAACGGCCGTGTAAGGGTCGGGCCTACCCATATGTCTACCAGTGTGTTTATTAACTCCAATTGTGTAGGCAACCTAAGAGGCAGTGGCACCAATGTAAAACATGCGGCGAACCCAGTGGGTTTTGCTCAAAGACAATCAAATAACACTATTGGGACAAGAGAATGCCAGCCACCTGTATCTCCGATATTAGCAATGTATGGCAAACAAATGAACGGAAAGGGACCTTCCGCTGCCGATAACCCTTTCGACTCTTCCGAAGACGTCGGTGCAGCGACACAGGCCCAGCAGGTGACGCACAACAATGTACAGTTGGCAAAATCAGAAAGTTCAGATGGATGCTTTACAAGCAACGACTTCGTAGCGTGGTTACCTAGGCAAGACCCTGGGGGGAAAGATGAGTCAAATTCATCAAACTCAACGAACTCAACGTCGAACCGTGAAAATAACGGAAACAATGGATCGAATAGATCAACAACAAGTATATCAGGAGGCATAAAACGAGGTTTTCAAAAGTTGAAGACCGCCTTGCGAAACGTCTTGGCAAAAATCAAACACTCTATAACGGGTTTGTGCTCAGGCTCAAAAAAAAATGCACAACCACCAAACCGTGTAGAAAATGAGAAATGCGCTGGAAAAGTAGCGTTTGTGGTGTCGGAAACTCGCAGCAGCTCATTATAATCTCGAAACAACGGGCAGAAATATATGCCTGACCACATTAAAAATAAGTCGAAAAAACACGACTGAACTTAATCTTTTGTTTTTCGTCGATGTGTAACATTAGACAACAGTTTTATACACTACACTTGCGCATTTGATGCGGGGATACGATGCTCCGCGAGAGGCGTCGCCACAGTACCATGAAAATAGAATATATTCCTGAATAGATGCAACTATACCGGCAGCATATCGTATCACGTCTGTACCTTTATCCTAGGTTGAGTAACACTGTGAACAACGTGAAGTTCTCATACCTCCATGGGCGCGCACTCACCAGCTATCGCAACCCATCGCATACAGCTACTTTCTCCGGAGGTTTTGGTTGGAATACCTCACCAGCAACGCCATATGAAGGCTGGGTAAACCAACTATCCTGCTATTCTTGGATACTGAACCAGAAGCGGGGGCCGAAACTAGCGAAACCACGTGATATCATAAGATTCTGGAAAATAAGAGTCGGAGATGAGGTATGTTCCAAGTAACACAAACCAATAAGACAAAGGTCGTGGTTATCAGCGGTAAGGAGAAAGGAAAGCTTGGAGAAGTGCTGGCCTGCGATAAACTGCGCAATCAAGTAAAGGTTAAGGGATGCAATATGGTAATTATAATACTTAAATCAGCCAATCAAACACAGCGCAAACTCATTGTCGACGGACAAGTGTTGCATATCGAAAAGAAAATGCATTACTCAAACGTACAGCTGATAGATCCCTTACTCAAGTAAGTAGCGCAATGGCGACGCAACAAAAAGCAGATGCGGAACACGAGTAGCCATCAGGTTTAATCGTCAAAATGAGCCATGTAAGTCAGTGAAAATCATCCTTTTGACACTCATATAGTACGGATCTCTAAGAAGTCCGGGTATGTCATACCCTGGCCAGAGGAGGTAAGTGGAACTTTCTAGAGAAATCACATACACCCAGAAACCCGAGGAAGATAAAGGTACTAAATCGGAATGGTGATACATCTTACATTCGCAGAGATCGTAGAGGGGGAAAAGGACACATCTCCAGAAGTGGCGGTCGCAAGGACCTACGACTACGAAGCGGTAGGTGACAAACACTAACAAAAAGTCACCCATACGTAGGATCTACGCTCCATGCAACGACTCAGACAAGTAATGCAAAAGTATAATAAAGACATTTAATATCACTTTTTGTCACCCATAAGCTTCCGTGCGAATGAGTCCTTAGGTTGGCCCCGCGTAGAGTCGGGGAGCTGTGCCTGGTATTTCATGAAGGCTTTCAGCGACATTGTGCTTTGCTGGTGTTGCGGTTGGTTAGAACCACCGCCGGATTTCTTGCGTGATTTGGGAATTTTCTCCGCACCAAGAGCCAATGACGGGAAATCGTCTGAAGCAACGGAAACAGGGCCTGATGTAGTATCGGAAACCTTCCATCCGGGTGACGGCCTGGTAGTCACAGGAGATGCGGGTACCTGTGGTTCAGACTTAGGAGCACTTTGGCGCATTTGCTTCTCCATTATTTCCAGCAAAGAGTCCACCTTCACGTCGTCGGGCTTGTTCCATCGCAATCCAGAGGCACGAACAGGGTCGCCAGCTTGTACCCTCTCTTCTGCGGCCGGAGTCTCAACCTCCTGCACAGCAGGACGACCTACAGATACCGATGGGATAAATCCGGGCGTATGCTGCAATGTGAGTTGGTTAGCCGCTTCCGGAATGTAACCCAATGGAGGATCCACAAAAGGGGTGTAGCTCGGAGGATACAAATCCTTAAACAAAGTCCACGGCATTCTCTCGTCGTACCGCATTGGTAGATTCGGGGCGAAGAAGTTGTTGATGTACCACGTGTACATCTGGCTAGAAGAGTAGAAACCGTGAACTTCGCCGTGAAAATCTTTGTACTGCCATTGTAGACTGATTGTCTGCAAGACAGGTGGTTCCATCCGACGTATCTGTTGAGGCGACGGAATGTGGACCTGAGGTTGAATTTGAACCTGAGGCTGTGATTGAACCTGAGGTTGAGTTTGGACCTGAGGCTGTGGTTGAACCTGAGGTTGAGTTTGGACCTGGGGCTGTGATTGAACCTCAGGTTGACATTGCAATTGGCCTTGCAGTGACTGGTGGGATGACACTTGTTGGTTTCTCCCTTGCTGAGACCTTGGCGGTTGTTGATTCTTTCCTTGTTGTTGAGGCCTTGCCTGTTGTTGGTTCTTTCCCTGCTGAGACTTGGGTTGCTGTGGGTTCTTCCCCGG